CAATATCAACAGAGGGTCTCATCTTGTACAATGGAAGCAGTTTGAATGTGAAGACATAATTATGAAAAGGTCCTGACATGACCTTTCCATACACAACTATTCCCAAGATTAGGAATAAACAAATTTTTCCTCTAGCAGAGTTGGGTGTTTGTGTGTTTTACCTGACTCTTTATCTTCTTCTACCCAAATATACATAGTAAGTTAATTATTTTCAACATCTATAAAAATAATTAGGTAAAGCTACTCTAGTTATTTCTAGGTCCCATATTCAGTGATACAGAAGACTTTTTCACTGACCAATAATGCTAAGCTTCATGGTGTTTGCTTTCTATCTTTACTATCAATCACCATTTATGGCCCCAAATAGTATATTGTTCTATGTGTGGTACTCTTGTATGTTTACGGTTCTTGAAATACAGTACCAGTCCTTGAGTCATTGCAGTCTAGAGAGCCAAACAAAATAGAGAAACTAGTAACGTGTGTCAGTGTACAATGTACATATTTATAGAGCGGTATAAGACTTTAATTGCTTCCCCATTCACTAAAGATGTTTTAGAGGAAAAGTGACATTTTAATAGCACTTATAGGATGAAAACAGTTATTTCTTACGGAATGGTAAAGGAAGCTTCTAATTTAAGGTAGTGTTTATGTGGAGACTCAAAGAAAGTAAGAGAGGGTTTCTATTATCTATTGCTGTATAACAGACCATCCCAATACTACTGAAGTGGCCAGAAACATGGGTTGGCAATTTTTTTCCTAAAGGGCCAGTTAGTAAATGATTGAGGCATTATAGGCCATACAGTTTCTGTCAGTTACTCATCCCTGCTGTTAAAATGCAAAAGCAGACACCGACAATGGGTGGGCACTATTGTGTTCCAAATATTTTATTTATAAAAACAGATGGCAGATTGGGTTTGACCTAAGAACTGTAATTTGTTGACTCTTGATTTAAAACAACAAAATCATTACTTTGCTTACAAATCTGCAATTTGGGTAGGGTTTAGCAAGGTAACCCCACTGCTCTACTGGGTGTCAGAGTGGTTTGAAGGCTGAAGACTGGAATCATCTGAAGGTTCACTCACTCACAGGTATGTTTCCTGTGCTAGGAATATAGCTGGGGCTCCTCTTTCTCTATGTGATCTCTCGTTGTGGTCGCTAACATGGCAGCTTCAGGTTAGTCAGATTTCTTATATGTTGGCTCAGAGCTTCCTAGTGTGTGTGACCAGAGAGAGAGAGAGGGATGGAAGTTGTATTGCCTTTTTTAAGTCTAGCCTAAAAAGCCACTTCGTTTGTCACTTGTCACCTCCATTACATTTTATTTGAACAGGCCAGAGTGGGCAAACTGTGGCCCTTGGGCCAAATCTAAGTGGCTACCTATTTATAAAGTTAGTTTTATTGGAACAAAATAATGCTCATTCCTTTATGTATTGTCAGTGGCTGCTTTTACACCACAATGATAATGCTGCATAGTTGTGAAAAAGACTATAAGGCCTACAGAGCCTAAAATATTATTTGGCGTTTTTTTACAGAGCAAGTTTTCTGGTCCCTGGTGTAGGCATTTTCAGCCACCCATGCTCTTAATGGGAGAGTGGCAAGTTTCTGGAACAGCTTGTAGAACTAGAAATATTGTTGGAGTCATTTGTAGAAAATACAGTCTGCCACAGGGAATGAACCAGGTGGAAACTTAGGAGAAGATAGCTCCAGCCGGAAGGAACAGCCAATTTTGGCAAGTACCTACTCCTGCTAGGTGTTTTCCACAGAAGACAATGTGGCCAGTGTTGCTGGAGCAGAGTAGGTGAGCTAAAGAGTAGTGGAAAATGAAGGCAGAGAAGTTGCCCGTGCCAGGTTCATGTAGGGCCTTATAGGGGACTTCTATTGTAAAGATTTCAGCTTTTAGTGAGATAAGAGGCCACTGGAGGTTCTGAGAAGAGTGACAAGATCTAACTTCTACTTTTTAAGGATCACTTTGGCTACTCTATGGGGAATAAATTATGGGGGACAAGGGCAAAAGCGGGGATACTGTTGAGCAGAATATTAAATAGTCATCTAGGCAAGAGAAGAAGATGGCTTAACTGAGAGTGATAAGAATAAAGGTAGAAAGAAGTAATTTGTTTCTGAATATATTTTTGAAGGTAAAACCAATGGTCTTTGTTGATGGATTAGATAATGGAGTGGAAGAGGAGGAGAGAAGTCAGTGACTGTAAGGCCCTGAGGCATTCCTGCTGCCTCCTTGGAACCTCTTTGAAAACCACGGGCCTTCAGTGTAGGAAGATTGGCATGCTAAGAGACACATCTAATTCTGTCCCCCTCCTCCTAAAAACCCTTCAGAGGCTTTCCATGGTCCACTTCAGACTTTTTTTTTTAATGTTTATTTATTTTGAGGGAGAGAGTGCATGTGCAACGTATTTGTATGCACTGGAGGGAGAGAGAGAGAGAGGGAAAGAGAGAGAAAGGGGGAGAGTGGGGAGAGAGGGGGGAGGAATATCCCAGGCAGGCTCCACGCTGCCAGCGCAGAGCCCAACACGGGGCTCGATCTCAACAAAGAGTGAGAGCATGACCTGAGCCAAAATCAAGAGTCTGACGCTCAACCGACTGAGCCACCCAGGCGCCCCTCCTCTTCAGACTTCTAATATGACTCACCAACCCCCTTCACGATCTAACCTCTAATTATTTCTCTTGTGTTCTCTCTCACTTCCCCCAATCTTGCATTCTGTTCCCCACCCACAAAAAAACATGTGTCAGTTCCTCAAACCCTCGTGTTCTATCTTCTGGGTTTCTTGTACACATGTCCTTTCTGCCTTCTCTTCATCTCACTAACATATATACTCATCCTCAGGTTTCCACTTGGACCTCTTTTATTTTTTTTTAAGTTTTTCTTTTATGTTTATTGACTTTTTGAGAGAGAGGAATGGGAGAGGGGCAGAGAGAGATGGAGACACAGAATCTGAAGCAGACTCTAGGCTCTGAGCTTTCAGAACAGAACCCTGTCAGTGCAGAGCCCGATGTGAGGCTTGAACCCACCAAGTATGAGATCGTGACCTGAGCTGAAGTTGAACACTTAACCGACTGAGCCACCCTTTCCCCTGGACCTCCTTTATTTTTATCCGGTAGCTCCTTTTCTAATCTCCTCGTAGTGTCCTCCTGTGATGTTGTTTTCGTGGCAGTCTGTATTTACCCTATCGTAGTACTTGTCATACTTTACAGTTTATGATTTTTAAGTCGTGTGTTGTCCTTATTGGACTGGAAGCTGTGTAGGAGCAGGAGCATGTCTTTCTCACCAGTGTATCACCATCACAGGGCCTGGCTCATAAAGGCACTTAATAAGTGTTTGTTGACAGCTTGAATGAAGGACATGTAACTTTTAAGGTGAATTGCATTTTCTTAGTAATGTGGGGAGAACTTCTAAATTTTATGCCAGATCAGTTGTTAAATCTGAAAAAGAAAAATGTAATGTAATAACTGGTAAAATTATTTCTATGCAGAAAGCATATTGCAATACAAAAATAGAAAGGAATACGTAAAAATTAATAATGATCATTAAGTTAGGGTAGTTAAATTACAAGTTTTTTTGCTTAGTATATTTCAAATTTTCCATAAGGTTTTATTTCTTTTATTTAAAATGTTTTAACGAATCAATTCAAATTGCATTTTAAGAATCTTAAATATGGCATCTTTAATTCTTCAGGTAATTTTGTTCCCAGGTTTGGCTCAGTCCTGAGTAGTTACCAACCGAAAGCGTAATATCTACTGGAACAAATCTAAAATGTCTTTTTTTCTACCTTCTTCAGTAAATCAAAAAATCATTCTATTTTTAAAGTTTCTAAGATAAGTATTCTGTTGTTCACAGTAGTGAAAATGATACTATTATTTTTATTCTTCTGTTTAACTTTTTTTAAAATTTATCAAATGAGATTTCACCTACTTCTCTATTCGTCTGAAACATTACCATCATTACTCCAAAAATAGTACTTAAGTATTTTTGTGTGTGTGTGTTTACTTCATCATGAAACTGTTTATTCCAAATTTTTATTGTTAAATGCCTTGTCCTTGAATTGTGGTATAGAGCCTGGCAGCGTGTTCTAACTTGGCACAGACTGGGTCCCCAGGTCTTTTTTGTGTTACTAGTCTCAGGGACCAATGTCAGCAAATGCCGCCTATGCACAAAAGTAGGTTCTGAGTGCACAAGGCTGAGCAGGAAGAGGGTGAAGGCTCTGACAGGTTGGCAGAACTACCAGGCTCCCCTCACGGAATCCGTCCCAGTGCAATGAGAATGAGAAACCAAAAGGTAAATCAGAAAGGAACTAAAACCCAGACCCCAAAATAGCTGGAAGCGGAGATGGGGAGGCACAGATGGAGACTTTAGGAGAGAACGTTGCAGCTGGAGGTCTCAGGGAGACAGCAGAAAGCACTCGGCAAGACCACCCAAACACAAAATCTGAACTAGCCTGCATTGGCAGGATGAGTGGGCAGAGCTCCCTTAGTGTGGTGTGGCTCCCACAATGGAGCATAGTACTTAAATATTTTTAAATATTTGAATTTAAATATTTTGTCTTTGAATATTTTGAATACCTCTGAATATTGTCTTTGAATACCTTTGAATATTTTGTCTTCAAGGAATTGGTTAGCAAATGTTGTAGATAAAGAAAGTGAGGCTCAGAAGAGTCACATGCTGTGCTGAAGGTCACAGGCTTGGATAAGATTGGGTAAGAGGTTTACTGGGAGTAAGTGAAAGATCTTCTCATTCTTAGTGAAACATCCTGCATGTAATACACAGCAAAGATGTTTTTCCTTGTGTATATATTTCTTTTAAAAATAATTTTATCTATGTGTGAATGAGGAACTTACAATGTATTTCTAATTTAAGACTGCTGCTAATAATATTAAATCCGGATAAAACCTGTGTCCTTTTGAGTCCTGTTATGTTAAAAACAACGAACATTTTTTCTGGTTTGAAGTTCTTTGTGTACTGCATTCTGATGCTTTTTCCCCTTCCTCCACAGTTGTGCATGCCTAAAGGGCTGTCTTTCAGAACTCAAACTGACAATAAAGACCCTCAGTTCCACTCATTTATAATTACCCGGGAAGATGGTTCTCGTACCTATGGTTTTGTTCTCACTTTTTATGAAGAAGTTACCAGTAAGCAGATCTGCACAGCAATGCAGACGCTCTACCAGATGCACAACGCAGAGCATTATAGCAGCGTGTATGCCTCATCCTCCTGCAGCATGGATTCGCTGGCAAGCAGTACTGACGAAGGAGATACAACTTCCCTTTTGAAACTCCAGCGCTACAACTCCTATGACATCAGCAGAGACACCCTGTATGTTTCAAAAAGTATATGTTTGATCACACCACTGCCTTTCATGCAGGCCTGCAAAAAATTCCTCATCCAGCTTTACAAGGCAGTTACCTCACAGCAGCCGCCACCCTTGCCGCTTGAGAGCTACATCCATAACATTCTTTATGAAGTACCCCTTCCACCTCCGGGGAGATCGCTGAAATTTTATGGTGTTTATGAACCTGTCATCTGCCAGAGACCTGGGCCCAATGAACTTCCCCTCTCCGATTACCCTCTTCGAGAGGCCTTCGAGCTTCTGGGATTAGAGAACCTGGTGCAGGTGTTTACCTGTGTTCTTTTAGAGATGCAGATTCTTCTCTACTCACAAGGTAGGTCTTCCCTGGATTTTAAGTCTCTCCCCCCCAAAATACTTACGCTCTTCCCAACTACTGCATTTCCATTGGGTATATTACTAGAACCACACACTTAATGGTCAGAAGTCTTCTGTTTTGTGTGAAAGAAGCAGGTATAGGTGGGACCAGAGGCTAAGATGTTACTTCTCTTTGAGGTGTCAGTGGACCGTGGAGAAAAACAGGAAAGAATACAAAAGCATTAATCTGGCTGACTTAAGTGTATTATTTTTTAATGGAAATAGGCCCTTTCTTCCAGATAATGCATCATCATCATAAAAGAAACATTTCTTTTCATAATGAAAGTGAGAGAATGATGTTAGTACCAGGAACATGTAGACATCTTATTTTCTGCAGGTTGGTAAAGGTTCACATAAAAACTCAGTTGACGTTGGAAAGGGATAAATGAAATTGTTGACTGCAGCTTCCTAAGGCAGTCAACTTTGGATCTTTCCCTGTGGGAGATGTCACTGGATGTGACTCTCTTGGGTCTAAGAGTTTCACCAGAGTTATGTGGAGTTTTTTTGTTTCATTTTGCTTTTTTTTTTTAGTATCTAAAAAAAATTTTTTAATGTTTATTTTTGAGAGAGACAGAGTGAGAGTGGGGAGGAGCAGAAAGAGAGGGAGACACGGAATCTGAAGCAGGGTCCAGGCTCTGAGCTGTTAGCACAGAGCCCGACGTGGGGCTCGAACTCACAGACTGCAAGATCATGACCTGAGCCGGAGTCGGACACTCAACCGATTGAGCCATCCCAGTGCCCGGTGTTTTGTTTTGCTTTTAATTCCAGAAGGAAGTGACCTTTGTGATGTTTTTTATTCAGAGTTCTCCCAGCACATACTTAGGAACTAACAAAATTTGAGTTTTATTTTTATGAGTGCATTTATGATGTTGAGCCTAGGATACTGGTTCCAACCTGAACATGATTTTGCAGAAGAAATAGAGATGCTTTGTCTTAATGGATATGTGAATTGAAGGAAAATATAAAATGGTTGCTGTGCATTGATGGGTCCTTTGAAAAATGTGGCACAAATACTTGGGTTAGCTTTTTGCTAACTTGTATTTAAGCTAGCAGGATTGTAGTGCAGTCTCCTGACTGCTGCCATCAAGCTTATTTTACCACTTTCCTTTTTTTCTTTTCTATTTTAAATTATAAGTGAGCCTGAGCCAAGTAGGCTATATTTGTACTTCCCCATCTTGTGTGTATGTTGACACTATTTGTGTGTTGACAGCCCTTCACGAGGTTGTATTTTCTTCAGTTTATCCTACATAATGTTCTTTGATAATGTGTTCTGATGTCTCAGTTTTTGTTGTCAGGAAGTTCTCTCATGACCAATCTAAACTCTCCTTTCCTCTTGCTCTTACTTTCTTAGGGTTCATCATTACCTGTAGATCACTTGTTTGTATCTAAAATGTGAAACATTAAGTAATTCTCCCTCCCTTTCTCTTTCTTCCTCTCTTGCTTTTTACCCTGAGCAGGGTTAGGGTTAGAGAGTTGTTGGAAGAGGCAGGGGCTTGGAGCTTGATTCTCTCAGGTGTATTACCCTATGCAAAAAAAGAACTTAGATCTTAGATTGGCGAGGGATCTTCAAGGTCATTTAGTTCAGTTTTAGTTCTGCCTAGGGAAGTAGTTTGGGCCAGACAGAATATTGGTTTTTGAAATCATAGCGATCACAGGTTCAACTCTATTCTCTGTCACGTACCAACTGTAACCATGGACAAGTTATGTAATCTTCCCGAGTGTCAGTTAATTCATCTTTATGGAGATAACGGGGTTTTTTTCCTTGTCTCTCACTGATTTATTATGAAGGTTAAATAAAATCTGTACACAATAGTTGGGGCATAATTGGCACTAAATGATAGCTGATATTATTGTAATTATTATTAGTTTTATTAGTCCTACACAATCCTCTATAAATTATGCATATTTTCAGTAGTGTGGATCAGCATATTATTGCATTTAAAGTATAGCTTTGTTAAATTAAATAGGGTATTTGTTTCAGTGTTGAGAACCTAATAAATGTTCTCTTATCCTGAATGTTAGGGCCTTTTTTTTTTTTCTTTTTTTTTTTTTTTTTTT